CTCCCTTGTCTTTGTCGGTTATACTATTCTGCCTATATATCATGCGCCGCTGTGCGGCTGCTGGTTGGGCTCGAGAGAGAGTCCATAAGGCACAACGGAACGAGTGAGTTCCGTATGAACGATCGGTGAGCGCCCCCTAACAGATTTTTTTATTTTTTTGCATGGAAAGACAGCCTATACATTTAAAAACGAAGTTCACTAATTTAAAACGTTTTCGGAATACTGTGCTTTTCTAAAAAAAATCGGCATTTCGAAGCAACGCAGAACTGTCTTTAATATGTCATTTATGCTTTTTATTCTTTCCAAGCAACACTTAATAAAAATAGATATTGGATGCATGAATTGGTGTCAGGTTGCGAACGATTCGTAATCAGTCGTAAATTTCGAAACATTTCATGGGTTAGTTCCCATACTGTGCATCAATAAAAACTCTAAATCAATAATGAAATGCTTCCTGTTAGGTCGAAGCACAAAATAAGTGTTCCTGCAATATCCAGATTGCTAGAAATAGCAATTTTATTAAGGAAAATGTCGAAAGGGCGAAAACTCGTAGCAGATGCGCCATTTCAATTTTTCAAAATGCATAAAGCCTCCCCGCCGCAAATATCTGAGAAAATAAAACGGCATAAACACAGCGGCGCCTAAGAATATTCTTTTATACCGTCCCGCATTTAACTCTCTTCCATGCGGTAGAGCAGTTAGTTAGCTGACTAATATTTGGCCATCGATTCAAAAGGATTTCAAGCGAATTCGATGCGGTTTTTCTGCTTTTGCGTTGTTTGTGGTACACTCGGAGAGAACAAAGGAGATTTCGTTTCATTTCGACGACAAGGAAAATTAACATTCTGTTTGTATTTGAGCCAGTTCTGTTATTATTGCTGACTTTTGGCTCGATATACGGTTTCAAATACACGACGGAGTGGCACATAAATGCTCACATATTGCTGAAGACGCCAGTGCGCTTCTTGCTCGATTTCTAAATCACGTATTAGCAGAAAATAAACCGCTGTAAAATGCCTTGCCATGTGCTCAAAAACTAAAATGGCCACTTTATGTCGGATTAGTCGCAATTACTTGTGGAATATTCGAGGACGTTAGTAGGATAAGGATTCGATAAGGAAAGGACTGTCTGCAGACGAAAAATCACGCAGTTCGAAAGCTGAAATGAAAAGAATAAAAATTGTTTTTTTGGAAAATCGTTTGTTTATTCACCCATTACTTCACCTGACTTACACAAGGAGAAAAGGCAATTTTCAGGTGGCTGGAGATTGTTTTTTGTTAAACATTCCCGTTTAGGTCAATTCCATCTGGTAGAAAAATATGCCCTGACACAATAATGAGGTATGGAAAATGTACAAAAACGGGAAGTCGTCTGAATATAGGTCGACGTTGGGTTCCACCCAAATTTTTGAGACTTCTCCTGCATAAAATTACTTAGATAAATTTTCCCATGGAAAAAGGACTTTTTGAGTGCGCTTGAGGAATGTGAAATCTCTGCAGCGTTTAGGATGCTCCGAAATGATCATCTCGAAGTAAATCATCGAGTTTCATGCGCTGCGTCAACTACTGACTTAACCGTTGATGAAAATTATATTAGCTAGGGATAGGCTTATGCTTTCTTCCCTCTTTATTACATTGCAGAGATTTTCGAGTCTTAACATTTATGCTAGCACACAATTAGAGATACTGTGTGGTTTTGCGATTCCTTCTGCTCAAATTCGATGGACTGTTCACTTTGGCGTTCGATTCAAAGCAGACATCTTGGGAAGCGGTAACTCAAAGCCGACGTTCATTAGCACTGCCTTACTGAAAAAGTAAAGTCCGCAGACTCGGCAAAAAAGTCATACAGAGGCGGTTAAACGTTTTTGCGTGATTTTCAAACACCACCCCGCCAGTACATGGTCTTTTTACTCGCAAGCTATCCGAAAAGGACATTGCGTGCAGCAAGTTCTGTTAGGAGTAATAATTTGCGAGGTTTGTTTCTGTAGCCCAACTTGATTGATACTATAAGGTTAGCTTTGTGAAAGAACTTTAGTAGAAGCGGGTACGCTGACTTTACAGATATCAGGGGTCTGCACCTTTCTTACCACTTTAATCCAGCAAGTAACTGTGCCACTGGGGAAGAGGGATTATAGCCATTCTCGTTTACATCAGGCACTGGTTCATGCGCGCTTCCCAGAGCGTGCTTCAAGGCCTGTTTGCGCCTTCTTTTTCAGTCTAATCCAGCGAGGGGCCAAGTAGGCACGCCAATGACATTGTTTGGATGGAATGGATCTTCGCTGGTTCCATTAAAGGGGTCATACGCTGTGAATGAACACGCGGTTACCTCTGTGTCTTTCCAGTTGTGATTGCGTCCTCCCTATCCTCTTAATACAGAGAGTGGCTGTGTCTCAGGACGTACTTCACGTTCAACGGGACAACCTACGAACGGGTGAAGGGCGCACCAATGGGTTCGCCGATTTCGGGATCCATCGCCGAGGCGGTCCTGCAACGGTTAGAATCGCTGGTCTTCCAACACCACAGACCGAAATTCTGGGCCCGGTATGTGGATGACACCTTCGTCGTCATCGAACGGGATCAGGTGTTGACATTCCAAGAACATCTCAACGCCGTCTTCCCGGACATTCAATTTACGATGGAGGAGGAAGAGAACAACCAGCTGGCCTTCCTGGATGTCCTCGTATGCCGCAAAGCTTGTGGTGAACTAAAAACCAAAGTGTTCAGGAAAGCGACAAATACGATGCAAGTACTGAACTTCAACAGTAACCACCCAATCAGCCACAAACGCAGTTGTGTAAGGACGCTCCATCGGCGTGTCAAAACGCACTGCAGTGAGCCGGAAGACAAAATTGCCGAACTACAATACCTCCGACGGGTCTTCAAAGCCAATGGCTACCCGCGCAACTTCGTCAACCGGTGCATACGCAAAAGGGACGAAAGGCCTAACCGCACGGACACCAAGTCTTGGCGGGCACTTCCGTATGTCAAGAACGTTTCGGAAGCTGTCGGCCGCCTTCTCGCACCACTTGGGGTTGGAGTTGCACACAGACCGGAGGCAACCATCAGGCGTCTGGTCATGAAACCGAAAGACCCCCTGCCACGGCTAGAAACGTCTGGAGTCGTTTATCGGATCTGGTGCAGTTGCGGACAAAGCAACTACGTCGGAGAAACCGGAAGACAGATCCGAACGAGAATGGCCGAACACGCGGCAGCGGTGCGCAGAAATGACGCCAGCTCTCAAGTTGCGGCTCATTCGACGAGATGCGGCCACACATTCAAATTCGATGAGGCCGAAATTCTCGCAAGAGGTGACAACCGCGTGAGCCGGGAGCTATTGGAATCATGGTTTACTGGCCCCCAGTCCATCAACAAGTGCAACGATCTTCCCACTCCATACTCGGTGCTGAGACTTCGCCTGGGCGGAGTAATTAGCCACACGGGGAGCGCATAGGTGAACACTTTTTCCAACACCAGGGTCGGTGCGTCAGATGGTCGAGCAATCATCACGCCAACATCCAACGCACGTGATGAAATTGCAGCAATTATCGACTCGAATATCGGCCATCAAGTAGTGATCACACCAAGTGCGACGATCCCGGATGAAGGGGGGAGCCGTGAATGTTCATAGGTATGCGGTAGCAATGCTACTGCATCCTATAAATACCGCAGCCCCTTGTGCAGCAACCACCCGTTTCTACTTTTTTGTCTCTCATGATGTGTTCGAGCAGGAATCCGAAGCGTCAGGCTAATAAAGCTCTTGTCCCGGCGATCGTGTCTCCTTCTTCAAAAGTGGCTGTGTTGCTATCTTTAGTTACACCAAGCATCGGTTCACACACGTTTACCTGAGCATGCTTCGAGCTCTACTTGCACTGCCTTCACTTCCTAATCCAGCAAATGTATATGTTAGTTATGTTAACTAAAACTGTTTTAGTTAGCTAGCCACATGGTATCAATCAATTTGGACTGCGGGGCCAAATCCAGCCAAAATCGATCATATAACAGGTTTCGAAAAGACCTTCTGGGCGGAATTAATTTTTTCGACTGCGATTAAGCCTAAAATATCCTCCTACGCGAACCAGGGCTGCGTAACCCGCGTAGAGGAGGCTGTTTACCTTCGCTAGCCACTGCACCCGATCCCCCTGCCGGACGCTCAGACTTACAGTAGGTGGGCTAACTCATGAAATGTAAACCAAAATTTCGAAATTCGTTCTCGTTTCGAAAAGATTAATTAAGTGGGGTTGTAAAACTAGTCACCATGCAGCATAATTCTATAATGATCCAGTTACCTCGGGGTGTCGGCTTTCAAAGGAACTTATTTCCGACTATACTTGGCAAAAAATGATAACTCCACTAGCATGCAATTTTCTCATTGATTTTCGATGTTCATGAAAATTCAATTATATTTCGTGAAAAACATAAATAGAATATTCTTTATTTTGCTCATTCGGTAGAAAATTACGTCTTCTTCCAATTTCCTACTCGGAAGAAGAGTATAATCCGGTTTCGAAAAAGTCTACAATTGTGAGATTTTTAATACCGCGAAATGGCCATTAATAAAACGTCATGCATCCGCATTTGTGAATATGGACAAAATCCACCGCCTAATTTTATGAAGCCTATATGGTTTCCTCTTAATACCGTAGAGAAATTCATGGTTTTCCATACACGGAAAATATGCGGCTTGTAGTTTTGAAACCCTGAATGCAAGTGTACAGCGGGTCGAGTTCAAAATTACTCGGGAATTAGAAAAGTTTTTAAAGCCGAATTATACCAATCTTTTGAACATAAAATTGTAAGAAGACGTAAATTTCTACCGAATAAGTAAAAGAATAAATATTTTTATGCATGTTTTCCATGAAATATAACTGAATTTTCAAGGGCATCGAAAATCAAGGAGAAAATGTCATGCTATATAAGTAGTCATTTTTCGCAGAGTATGGTTTTTGCATGCAGCCGGAAAGAAGTTCGTTCGAAAGCCGGCATTCTGAGGTAACTGGATCATTATAGAATTGTGCTGTATGATGACTAGTTTTAAAACCCTACTTAATTAATCTTTTCGAAACGAGAACGCATTTCGAAATGTCGATTGACATTTTAGGAGTTAGCCCACCTACTGTAGTTGGACACGGGGCCCAGGTAAGTGAGGGAAGAGAGAGTGCGACGGGTGCTACATAAGTCTACTACCACCGTCCCTGCGGCCCCCTCTTTTGGAGGATTCTGTGGTCTAAATGTCAGACGTAGGGCTGAACACCGCGTCAATCGCCGCATTGAAATTTGCCTGACAGGGCCAGTCATAAAGCTGGTGCATGAGAGAGGGGAAAGTGAGACTGATACATGCACCAAATTATTCTTTGCCAATAAAAAAATATGATTTGCCTGGATCCGCCCCGAAGGGCTAAGAGTTGTGGTTTGAAAGGTTGTCAGCGGAGGATATTAAGCGGTCTCTATCAGGATTGAGAGTGCGGCAACAGTGATGCCTTTCGAATGTGGCCCTTACGACATCCTCACTGAAAGGAGACCCGAGTCGCCTTTACAGATGCCTGGTGCTTTAGTATGTTAACCATATGACGGCAATCAGGTGGGGATGCAGAACCAGACATCGCCTAATAATGTAAAGGAATTTTCAGCTGAGGAAAATGAAGTGCTCACCCCGTTTCGCCCCAGCTCTTCGAAACGTCAGCCGAGCAAATCTTTCGATCCGGTGAGCACTTTATTTTCCTCAGATTATCAACCCGGATCTCTTACTTTTGCTAACCGGAGTTTTCAGCGTCGAGACATCCTGGCCCCGACTGTTTTCAAGAGGCCGCGGGAAAAGGTAGGGTGTAATAGAGACGTTTTGGTCATAAGTATGTGATACGGACCCTTCACCCGCAGTCTCTCTCCGAAACCTTGTCCCCGACTTCCATTGTCTGAGATCAAGGCATTGGCTTCAACAGGCTATCACGCCAAACCTGTCCAAGAAAAGATTAACTGACCAACTGAGATTTCCGTTCTGTTCGCGGAACAGGAAAGATTATAAAACAACGCCTCATAGCGCAATGCGGGAAACACGGAATAACCTTCGTTGGAGAGGCATGATGGTGCGTAAATGAACACATGAAAAATGTCCTTTTCGGCGCCTTGAGGCGTGCAGCAGACGCCTTATACTTCGGTGTCAATGGGGACTTCAAGAGATAAACCCGTCAGGCAACTTCTATCCGAAATAACTAGCCGACCCCGCGCAGAATGAGCTGTGCTGAGCGCACGGTAGAAAAGTGAAGGATTTTCTGGACGCTTGGAATACCATTTTCCTCGAATAGGGAGAGCAAAGAGCCACGCGGACTGTGGGAGGTTTGGATAAGTTTTTGACTTATACCGGGGTGAGATTCTATTTTGCCGAGTGTTCACGCTATATTTCAGTCGGACAAAGTTGTGATAGAATGACAAGCCGACCAGCAGTCCTCAACCGCTCACAGTAACGGTTGTCTGCTCTCCTTAAGTCACCCAGGTGTGCTTGCCTACCGAAATTAAGAGCATCTTTTGAAAACTACCACCTACACAAGTCTATTTGTTATTACTTGGTAGTTAATCGTCGATTTTGCTTCTGTGTGTTGAATACTGCACTCTCCTGAGGGACAACTGTTGCGTCAAGCGCAGTTGTTGAGGAGGGTTCCGCATTATAAACGAACTAATAAAACGCCAGTTCGGGTCACCAGAAACCCCAGTGCAACCGTAAACAGAAATGCTCCCGGCAAATAGCATAAGCCTATGTAACGTAGGGGAGTTGTAGTTGATTTGAAACATTGGGCTAAGAGAGATTGACTCTGTCAGAATGTTATCTACCCGAAAACGTCTCCTGGACTATACTTTAGGCTCTGCCAGAGAAGGGGGGCTAATTCCACCGACTTGAAGGGGCAAGACGCGTTAGAGAGTTATTTGCACATATGTATATATCAGCAAAGAGGGATGACAGAGAATGCGGGTAGATTGACACAATACTCTTTCGGGCTTATTTAGCTGAATGAAGGCAAAATAAGTCCGAAGCAATACTGTGCTAATCTACCCGCATTCTCTGTCGCCCCTCCTTGCTGTTATTATGACTTGGCCGGCTTTGGCCCGGTAGTTGGTTTCCTGTTCGTGACCTTTGCCACCCGTACGGAACTTTTTTGTCTGGGGAAGCCAACAGTGATGGTAAAATGTTTACTTGATATATTTATGTACCTCACATCATATGGCCTATGACGTACTGATGATCGGTAACGACCACGAAACAGATGTCTGCTTCTGGCTTATTGCACTGTTGGTGAGCTGCTTATGTATTATATGTGGTATGTGTCTTGTGACAGAACGTTTGTTGTCGTCAGTAGCATGTCGCCGGGCGGACAGAATGGGATCGAGTGAGATCCTAACCACAACGGTGAGGGCCAAACACTTACTAGATATATGTATATATACTAGAAAAGAATGTCATACTCACATCATCGGTACTGGCTGAAGGCCCGGACAGTTATCTCACTGACATTTATATCCCTTTTTATGGTGCGACTCATCAGTAAGTCCACAGCGTCCTTCGTGTGGCCTGTGTCCCAGCACCAGTCACCAAAAATAACTTCACTATAGTAGGATTTCCGTTCTGAGTCCATATGAAAAACGGACAGGTTACGCTAGCACCAGGCTACACATCAAACAGGCCGATCGCGCAGCGGCTATGAGCGGACGATGCTTGTACGATTCATCCCTCCCACCACCCCTCCAGCTGGCGTTTCAAAGCACAC